ATCAGGCACTTAACCAACTGAGCCACCCAGGTGCCCCCTGATTACCTTTTTGGATTCTATGCAGACCATAATCAGACACTGTAATTTGTATTTATTTCTGCCACAATTTTTTGCCTTTATGGTTTTGAAGGTCTTTTCATGTTGAGTCTGTTTCTAAGTAATCTAAAACTCTTTAAGACAGTCCAAAGCATTGTACAGATTGAGGCACTGGTCACCAAATTTGCTATGCAGTATGAAATCCAGAGATTTCAGTCTCCTAAACTTTAAAGAAAGTAGAGCCAGTTTTCTTTATGTTAATTGAAATTAAAATATGTAAGCTCTTTTATGTTTATGAATTAGAAAAGCTTAATGTTATTTGGTGAGAAAAATCACATGGAGAAATTCCCAGGGCTGAGGTTTTATACATACCAGAGAGTGTATTCTTTATTTTTTTAGGAAAAAATATTCAATGTGTGCTTATTTTGATAGTACACATAAGAACTAAAAGTAAAAATATCAGTCACAGTTAAATAATCTGTAACTATTTATATTTTGATGTGTTTTTTTTTCCAATTGCTTTATTTCTGTTTTTAAACATATAGGAAATCGTATTATAAGTAAAACCCATACCACAAATGGCTGACTACTCTTTCATATATAAATATCTCAATTTATATAATAGTTATTCCTTTATGAAAAGCTTCCTTTATGAAATGTTGAGGTTTTTGGATGTTTGGTGGTGTGAATAATCCTGTAATAATTGCTCATAAACCTCTGTTCATATTTCAAAATACTTTCCGATGACATATCCCCACAGAAGAAATTACTGTCAATGACGTATTTTAAAGCCTCTTAATAACAGTTATAAAACTGCTTTCTAGAAATTTTGTTCTGTTTACTTGCCCAACAGCAATGTACATGAATACCTGTTAAGTAATATCCCACAGGTGCTGGAAATGTGTTCACAGATAGAAACAAAAAGCTATTATAATATTACACCTGATGAAACAGAAGCAGAGACGAGAATAAAATTTCATCCCTAGAAAGAAAGAAAGAAATCATGCCTGTTTTGTCCATCCCATGATGTCCTCTTAAACAGCAAAAAATGAGAGTAAGGACACATTGTTGTTCAACTTTATTGTTACCTTGTGTGGTTTTTTTGTTTTTTTGAAGTGTGTTTTTTGCATATTTTAATAGGTTGTTTGTCTTTTATTGTTGAATTTCAGGAGTTATTTATATATTCCGAATACAAATCTTTTGACAGATATATTTAGTGCAAATATATTCTCCGTCTATTCTGATCTTTTTATTTTCTTAGTGTCTGTTTTGACAAGCAGAACTTTGAACATTCTTCTGAATTCCAATTCTATGAGGTAGGCTTATTTCATGTGAGGGCTTTCTGTGCCCTTCTTAAGAAACCTTGCTTATTCCAAGAAAGGTTGGGAAAATATTCTCCTGTGTTTGATTTTTGAAGATTTATAGTTTTAGCTTTGTGTATTAAGTATTTAATTCAGTCCAAATTAATTTATGTGGATTGTGTAAAGTACATATGAAGATTCATTTTTAAAAAATACATTTTTTCAATTTTTCCCAGCATTATTTGTTGAGTAGACTTTGCTATAGAATTACCTTAGTGCCTTTGCCCTTCGATTGTATGTGGTTCTATTTTTGGGCTCTATCCTGTTTCATTGGTTTATTTCTTTATCCTATGGCAGTACCACACTGTTTTGATTACTATAGCTTCATAGTAAGTCTTCAAACTGGTAATATGAATCATTCCACTTTGCCCTTCTAAGAATGTTTTGGTTATTCTGTCTTTTGCATTTGTATATAAATTTTAGAACCAGTTTGACTGTGTTGACAAAAAAAAAAAAACTAGGATTTTAATTGGGATTGCTTTGATTCTATAGATTAGGGAGAATTGACATATTAACAGTATTTAGTGTTCCAATCTACAAATATGTCTTTCTCCATTTAGCTGTTCTTTCATTTCTCTTAGCAAAGTTTTATATTCTATAGTTTCAGCCTGGTTTTCAGGTTCTTGCATACCCTTTGCTGATTTTGTTCCTAACTATTCTATGTTTTCTTCTCTGCTCCCACCAACCCAGGATTGTCCATCCTTCCCATCTGACAGCAAGTAGAATAGGGGCTTGAGTAGTAAGAAAGAGGATGAGGCTTGGAGGAAGATGGAGACAAGTATCACGGGGAGGAGTAGAGTGTGGAAAGACACAGGATCTCAAGCCACACCTGTGACATGAAGGGAAGTTGTTGTGGTCTGGGCAATAGGGCAGTAAATGGCAGTGGATGCACTTAGTTCAGGGGATGTCTTTGTTTTCCTGTCAGGGCCCATGCTATCAGAAAGGCAATATTTGAAATTTTCACAAGAGTAATAGATCCTAGATTGAACAGATAATTGAATCTCTGTCACTAATAAATCACCATATTATTACCAGTAAATGATTCCTTCTAGCAAATCTTGGGGTTATTTGTGGTTAAGCCTAGACCACCCTGCGTGATGAAAAATAAGTATTTCTAATGAGCATTTAAAAAATTACCTTTACTCTAACTTGTTCCCAAAATACTGTGGCTATGCTAACAATAGAAGAACTGTCTTTACCCTGAAAAGCTATTTACCGTAATTCCTCCTGTGCCTGCGCAGTGATCTTGGATTGATTTTGAAATGCCAACAGGACAGCTGTTTACATGTTTGTGGTATTGCCGTTGCTGTATTTTTGAGGCTGGGAAGATGACTTAAAAGTGCTCTACAGTAGCGTGTATGCCTTCTCATACCAAGGGGTTGGAAAGTATTTAAAACCGTTTTCAGTTCTGTTAAACTCCAAGGAAGAAGTTCTCACCTGGCAGGTTCTGCATTTTTATTTGTGATTGGGCCTAGTCAAAGGTGGCTGAGGGGGAGAAGAAGAAATGGTATTTCCAGAACAGTGGATGAAGGGATAGAGTTCTCAGCTGAGAAGTACTTGCAGGCAAGGGAAATATATTAGAAAAGTTCTGGACATGAGATAGTGGCTCTAATCTAAGTGGATCTTAGTGGACATGAGATAGTGGCTCATAATCTAAGTGGATCCACTAATGGATTTAAGTGGATCATTTGAGTACAGCCAAGAAAAACTTTCAGCTGAATAACAGAGGCTCGGGGAATAGGCCAAAAAGAATTTTAGTAAATTCTCACTGCATTCTCCTCTGCTTTTTTGTTCTCCCAACTAACTGAATAAAATTGTATGTAAAGCACACAACGGAATGCTTTTAACATTACAGGTGTTCAATAAATAGTTCTTCTCAGTTTTTAGTCTTTTTTCTTTCCGTCCCTTTTGTCCCTTTGTGTTTCTTTTCTTTTTGCATTTATAGATAATCAAGTTTCTTTTGTTCAAATTAATGCAAGTACAAAAAAAATTCAACACCTCAGATAAATATAAATATCTGGCAACCAAATAAGGGGAGGTTGGCTTCACAAATATCAGTTAACAAAGTTTATTCCTCATTCATGGAAATGAGACATACAGAAACAGGTTGATAGTATGTTTTAATCTTTTAGATTTTGAACAAGTTACAACCTGACTCCTTTTTTTATGTTTATTATAAGCTAATTGATAACTCAAAATACATAATATAACCTTACTGAAAAATTATTTAGCAGTATCTATTCAAGTTAATTATACATCTCAGCTTAATGGCATAGCAATTCTTCTCATTGTACGTACCCAAGAGAGTATCTACCAAGCAATATTTATAAGAAAGTTTACATCAACAGTAGCTACAAACTGGAAACAACCAAATGTTTACCAGCAGAAGAGCAAATAAATATAATTTGCTATATAGTACTTAAAAAATAGTGATGAACAAAAGATGTCAGACACAAAAGAGTTATCTACTATGGTTTATATGAAGTTCAAGTTCAAACAAATTGAATCTATGGTGATAGGAGTCAGAGTATTGGTTGCTAACTGGTTTGTGGGAGGAGTATGAAAAGATTGGGAAGGAGCACGTGGAAAACTATAAATTATCTAAAGCTTGATCTGGATGGTGATTCACATATGTATATAAAGACACTCATCAAGTTGTATAATTTGTGTACTCTTTTATAACCAAATGTGTATGATTTCCATTCATCCCTAAAAGGTAAATGATACTAAATATGTAATAACATACACAACATAAAAATGTATAGTGTATTAATTTAACATATATAAATATATATGTGTGCATATACATATATTTTTTAACTAATGCAGTAAAGTTATGTTAGTTTGTTGTCCTTAACAATGGGCTTTTCATTTTAGATTGACTTTTCCATTTTGTGGCCACTGTGGTGGATTGAGCTCTGTGTTTGATTTTGATCCTTTGCTTTACTTTTCATAATGTTTGTAATTGAGTAATTAATATTATTTTGCATTTCATTGATCTTATACAGATTACAAGTAGCTTGAGGAGGTTTTTGGTAAAAAGGAAAAACCTGCCCAAGTTTGAAAATTAACCAAGGGTGTGCTGCCAAGTTAAATATGAATATACTTAATATGTAATATATAGTTACATATGCTAGCATGTATGTATATAAGATATATGTTATATATACATGTTGAGTAACTATATTATGTATTTATATTTAAATAATATATAATATATATTTATATTTAAATTAGTACAAAAGCTGCCTTAAACTGTGCTTTATGTCTTTTATAGTCTTTTTTTTCTCCTTATATTGGTTATTCAATGGGAATAAATCGCACAGAGAACAACTTCTGTATTAAAGTAATGTGATTAAATTAAGACTGAAAATATGTAACACTGAAAATTAGCTATCGAGAATTTTTGGCCAAGCTCATCAAAAGTTGAGAAATTTTAGTTTATTTTTGTTAAGGTGATTTACCCAAGGTTTCCCATTCTACTCCTGGCTAGCAAGTTTCACTATGCTTATCAAAGGCCTTTGGGTTATTCAGCATGCACTTGGGGATTTCCTGACTCTTAAGAACTAACTTCCAGCTTCCTTTGGACTCTTGAATTCACAGGCTGCACTGCAAGTTGGGGGCCACGGGGAAAGGCTACACCAGTGTCGGGAAGTCATGTTGCTCACTTACAAATCCATCCCCATGCAAGTGGATGGGGAGCCCTGTAGGTTGGCCCCAGCTATGATTCGGATCTCCTTGAGGAATCAAGCCAACATGGTACAGAAGAGCAAGAGGAGAACATCCATGCCTTTACTCAATGAGTGAGTCTGCCCCTTGCCTACCTTTGTGAACACAAAGACCATGAAGAGAACACCGAGCATGTGCATGGTCTAGGGGCCTGACTGTGTTAAGAAGGGAACAAAGTCCAAGAAACAGGAGTTCCTTGGTCTCTCTGACATACTTTTCTTCATGTTTATTACACAGTGACCACACTCTTCTTTTAGAAATAACTACTGTATTGTATATGAGATAACTCTTCTTCATTGACCACTTTGGTCTATATTTATTGGGAACAAGAGAAAATCATTAAGAGTGATTCTAGGGTCATAAAACACATCAAGATAAATATGTTCTGTTTTGTTTTAAGAAGGAATGCTATTGGCCTCCTTTTTACCCAGGTCACTTGGAGAGTGTTGGTTTCCCCAATAGCAGGAGGTTGGCAGAGCTGGATATTCGGAGCTCACCTCTCTCCACGTTGCATCCCCTTCTGCCTGTTAGTGAGTTATCACTTTCCTGATGCCCCCACATTGGGGTCCCATGGACTCTGGTGCTTCAACTCAATGTTGCCATTCTGAGTGGCATCCTATTGTCTAGATACAACCTAGCTCACTATTCAATATCTAAATAAGATGTATCCCTCTTGGACCCTTTCTTTTCTTAGGTGTTTTGATAAACTGATTTGAGACAAGGAGATAATAACTAGATATTCAGAGTGTATGTTCATTGTAGCACCACTTCATCTAATTTTTTTAATGGAGAGGTCTATCTGGGGTTGGAGAAAGGGATGGAGAAGAATGGGGATTTGGGGCCTCTTTCTGAGTATCTTCTATATATAATGCCCATATGCCTGGTCTAGCTCAAGATAGGGCCATTTATGGGCTCAGCCTCGGGTCATTATTCTGTCACAGCGAGAGACCCCCCCAAGGTGCTACTCATGTTTGTGGCCTGTGGTGCATGGTTACTGATATGTCCTGAATGGCTGGCTTCCTGTGGTGCCTGTGAAGCAGGGCATGCTTTGCCACGTATTTATGGAGTCACTGTTACAATCGACAGAAGTGCCTAGAATAGACCAGTGACAGAGGTGCCGTAGCTCCCTGCCAGAACCTCACTTCACCTCTCTTTCTGAGATGGCATATGTTGAGGAATAGCATTAGACAGGGCTCTTAAAGTGTTTGCATTTTTGGCATCCACTTCTAAGTCTGAAGCTGGCGTGAGAGGTCCTCTCTCCTCTGCTTCCTCCTTTCCTAGAGTCTCTCTGGACATCAGAGTCACTCAGCACTTTCCCCAGATCATTATCCAGGCCATTATCCATTTCCCCAGACCATTATCCATTGTTCAGTTGTATTCCTTATTTTGTTTACATTTTGCAGCTGGTGAGACTCCTGGCTCATTCCCAATGGTTTTCTTTTCTCCTTGCCTCTAGCTTCTATTAGGCTAAATATACAGCTGGCAAGTTTATGTTAAAAAGGTAGGATGTCAACAACAGTATATGGTTGACCATATGCTCTCTAGAAATGTTAGTGTTAATCCATGAGCCAGTGGTCGGGGAGAAAGCTCTGAACTAAATGAAAAGCTACCTTGGAGATAGTATGGTAGCTCAGGTTGTTTGGGGCCACTTGTAGATCATTAAGAAGCTATAATAAAACTAAAAGTTCTTAATATCTGCAGGCAAAGAGCTCCCGTCCTCCTGCCTGGTGGTGCTATATTTAATAAACTTACCAGACACGAAATTGTTTCCAGGTGCTTAGTTTCAAACAGCTCTTGCCCTTGAAGTAAGAGTTTGTATCTGCTCGGCAACTGTATTCTTTTTTTTTTTTTAATATTTTATTGTTATGTTAATCACATACATTACAGCATTAGTTTTTGATGTAGTGTTCCATGATTCATTGTCGGCAACTGTATTCTTAAGAATTCACTTGGGCCTTCTTCACATATAAAAACAAATACAAATAGTTGTTTTCTTTTCGTACTTAGACTACATATGGCAGATAGATGATGCGGTGGCATAGGTTTAGCTGCAGGGTGTTCGAGGAAACAGCCTCAACTCAAAAATAGTTCCTTCCCACCAGGGGGCAGTGGTGCGTCCACCTAAGCAGCCTCTGGCCTCAGGAAACCTCTGAAGGACAATAATGTGCTTTTCAGTTCCAAAAAGGACACTTGTAAAACTTAGCAAAGATATTTATTACTACTGATGATGAATAACTATCAAAACACTACATTTTTTAGGAAAGCAATACAGATAGCACATTTTCAGAGGAAAACCAAACACCCACTTATCTTGTCACGTGTGTTCACTACACCTCAATTGCTCTCCCTGACTGCTCTTTTTCACCCTCTGCAATTAGAGTTCCTCTTTCTCTTTTACTAGAAATCCTTGTTTTGAAATCTGACTTCTTCCATTGGATTTCCAGGTGGAGTTTCTAGTTTGAGGGTTGCCTGGCCATTAAGACCTTTCCGCAAGTTTTCTTCAACCTTCTAAGTCCTCTAGGCTTTTCTGTTTCGGCCACGGTTGGGCCAAGTTCATTTTGCAGCCAAGGCAGAGAGATAATCGAAAGATATTTCTTTATTTCCTTCCTTCCTTCCCTGTTTTCCTCCTTCATTCTCTCTCTCTCTCTCTCTCTCAGCAGTCTTTGTTTTCTGCGACTGTTACTTCTGTTCCATTTGCCCGTCTTCTTTCAGAAGAAAGAGAACTGGTTTAGAATGTCTGGAGAATTCGTTTAGAAACCTCTGTGTGTGATGAGGATTGGGGGGTGGGGGGAGGGAGTTAACTGTGAATATTTGAGAATCAAGTACTGTGGTTCCCTAAACAACTGGCTTCCTTTTCCACTTGAGCAGTGGTGTTCCTCACAGGTTTGCCTTTCTCTGGGAGATCACATCTGTACCCCAGATTTCATCTATGACTGAGAAGGGAATAAATTTCACATCTGTGTCGTCTATCCCGGCGTTCCTTCTAAAAGCCAGACACTCATATCCAGATATCTCAGCTGACATCTTTACCTGGATACCCCCTAGCAACCTCAGACTGCAGGCTGAAAATGGGCTTGTTAACTCGGCTCCCTTTGCTTTCTCTGCTTATCAGCCAGTGAGCCCTCCTCATTCACGTTTGTCTGCATGGAACCATCTACCCATTCACCATGTCTCAGCCATGGAGTCCTTGCAGTCACCTGCTCCTTCTATTTATTTCCCACGTCTTCTTTTTTTTTTTTTTTTTGGTAAAGATTTATTTATTTATTTCAGAAAGAGAGAGTGGGGGAAGGGGCAGAGGGAGAGAATCTTCAAGCACACTCCCCGCTGAGTGCTGGGCCCGACATGTGGCTTGACCCCATGGCCCAGAGATGATGGCCTGAGCTGAACCCAAGAGCCAGACGCTCAACCATCTGAGCCACCCAGGTGCCCCTATCTCCCGTGTCTTTAACTCACGCCACCTACCCGCTCTGCTAGTAATACAGCCTGTGTCCAAAGGCCATCTAAGTTACCTCACCACAGCATCACTAAATTATGCTCACGTTTCCTTGCTTCCTGCGTCACTGCTCTTCACACAATGCTTTTTCCAGTAGATTAGTAATTAGTACTTAGAAGGATCTTTCTCGAAAAGTTAAACGGATATTCCTTAGCTTTGCAGAGCTTTCTGATCATTGCTGTCATCGTCGTCCCCCCTGCGCCCCAAAGATCATTGCTCGTCTGGAGCACTGGCCCGCCTCGTGCATCCTCATTCTTTGGCACTTCTCTTGCTCTTTTTGCACTGCCTTCCTTCCTGCCTTTTTGTCGGTTAACTCTTGCTCAAGTTCAAGACCCCATTGAAATATCATTCTCCCTAAGAATCCTTTTTGATCTACTTCTAGCTGTTAGATACTCCTGTTAGTGTTCTGGGTTATGTTCATCACACCATTTATCAAGAATAATATAGTTCTTGGTTTACTTGTCTCTCCTCCCAGCTTAGAGTTTTCCTCTTAGGGTCCTCAGTGCCTACCAGTATGTCTAAGACATGATTATGTGTTGAATCAGTGGCTTGCACATAGATCAGATCGATAATCCTCTATCTGTTAACATTGCTCTGAGATTGCATCTAAAATAACATAGATCTAAAATCCATGAATATAAAAGTAATGGAGATAATGTCTTGGTAACACTTTATGTGAATAAATGGAAGATACATACTTAAAAATTTCAAGATCTGGTTCACATGGATTGGATAGGTGGGGGAAATCCCATGAGAAATGGTTAAATAGTAGGCCTTCATGATGCCACTACATCTTCATTTATACCAAAAAAAAAAAAATTATTTCCAAAAAAATATATTTCTTGGTCTATAATCCCATTTGCTATTACTATATAGAAACTGAAGGGCTAGACTTGTTGTGTTCACTAGACCACCACCCTACTGGGACATGAGCATATCTCATTTTATCATGGCTTATGAATCTATTCAAAATAAGAGCTGCAATAAATATCATCGCCCCATAAAGTAATAGAAGAGTTTTGTCTAGGTTCATATTCATGTACTAGTAACATGGTACCCACATAAATTTGATGATACTATTCAAAAGGCACCTTTGAAAGAGATCAGAAATTTAAAATTTCTCAGGTGCTTAGGGAGATCTTAAGCTAGCTGAAATCCTGAGCTCACTGGTAATTAAGACTACACGGTGAAGGGCAATCATATTATTCAGGGGCAAGATTTCTAGTTGGTAAGCTTTGAATTGGGCAACTCGTTGATTGGATTCCGTCATCCTGGAATTGCTAGTCCTTTGAGGAAAACAAGGAGTTGCTTCATGGGTGACTTTATGTGAGAACTTACATACCCAGCAGAAAAGAGGGATAGGGGTGCTGTGCCTACTACAGTTACAGTGAAGCTCTTCAAATCCTCAGAGTGGAGAGAATAATTCTGTAAACTTAACAACACATTTTGGATTTAGTTTCTTAAATTTTATGTTTCATCTTTTCTAATAGCTACTGACGGTTCTTTTTTTTTTTTTAAACGATTTTATTTATTTATCTGACAGAGAGAGAGAGACAGAGAGAGAGGGAACACAAGCAGGGG